TGCCTGTGGACTGGGCAGTGGGCGCTCTCTCTCTCTGTGCCTGTGGACTGGGCAGTGGGAGCTCTCTCTCTCTCTCTCTCTCTCTCTCTCTCTGTCTGTGGACTGGGTAGTGGGCTGGCTCTCTCTTGCTGGGCTCGTCAGTGTGCTCACAGTCTCTAAGCACTCACCGATATTTGAAGTGTAATCTGTAGCTCCGAAGATGAGCTCTGGTGCTCTGTAATAGCGTGAACAGATGTATGATACATTGGGTTCCCCTCTTACCAGCTGCTTTGCACTGCAATCAAAAGGAGAGACGATTATAGGCTGTGACAGGCAACACAGAGCTCGCTCTGTGCTCGTGGACACTTACTCCAAAAGCAGCAGAGACTGATATCCATTCAGCACGGAGAAGCTGACTGTGATGCTTCCCAGCCTCTCCACCTTCAGAGCCCCCCGAGGCCTGCAAATGGACGGGAGGCAACTTCCGAAAAATCATAACTGTCTGCAGGGTCCTCTCCAACTGAAAGCCCGTGGGTAAGTGTGAACACATTGAGCACTGGCCTCTTGTATGGCTCAGTAATATCCTGTTTCCCACAATATGCTATCTCAGTGGGGGACTCAACACTGTATAATGAGGGGAGATTCATACTGAATACCACATGACAATGTACACAGGGGAACATTCAATTGAGTAACAGTTATTGGGAGTATCAAATGTACATGGGCAAACGTGTATGCAGGGAAGATTCATTGTACATGTGGCAATATGTACACAGGAGACTAACAAACTGTGGAACAGCAGTGTAGACTGAGTAACACTGGTAGCTTGTACACAGGAAAGCATTAGACTAACTTACACATGGCAGTGCGTACAGGGAGCAACAGTAGACTGTACACAGGAATTCCAATCTGAATAACACAGCAGCGTGGAGGCAGCAACCACAGTAACAGGGAACACTGTGTACAAAGAGCCTGTACCACACCACCTGACACAGGACAGCATCTTCAAGGGGCAGTACTTCACTGTTCAATAAAACAGCACGTAAGTGACAACGTGAGAAATGTGGCTAAGAATGGGATCAGTGAATATTTCAGCGGGACATATACTGAAACAACAGGAGCAATGGAGAGATGGGTAACAACACCATTACTCACCCAGAGAACACTGCGCACCCCCCCACCCCATCCCGACTGCCAGTGATGTAGAGAACCCCCTCCCCCGGTGGCGTACAGACCCAGTACCTCTCCCTCCCTCAGACCCAGTAACAGCTGTCCGAAGTGTCCCTGGGTCCATCTCAAAGCCTGCCAAAGGAACATCCAAACGCTGGTGGTGGTGGTGGGGGGCGCGTGGGGAACACATGTCCTCTCAAGCTGACTCCACCATTCGGGAAGCCAACGTTGGATCCAACTGTGATGTCAACTGCACTGTTACCCCTCCCTCAACTCCCCCTTCCACCACTGGTCTTCTAACTCTATGACACTGTGTTTCCCCAATGCCCTGCAAATTTCACACCGTCTGACCAACCCGCTACAGCAAACCAAGATCTCCTCACATCCATTTCAAACACAAGGTGCCTGGCTTTGAAATGGATGTCCTCTCAGTCCAGTGTCTACCAGAATGGGAAAGCCCACCTCAAGATGCACCATGTCAAATCCCATCAGCGTCCCCCACATCTCTCCAGGATCGTTTCTGAACAGCATGAGGGCCCAGAGACATGGTAACTTTCCTCACTTGCGCACATTCAGAAAGCATGTTAAAAGAGCATTTGCAGCAGAGAAAGTTCAACTGACTGATCCCTGAAATGGCAGTGGATTATCCTGAGCAGGCTGGGCTGTTTCCCATTGCTGTTCAGAAACGATCCTGGAGAGATGTGGGGGACGCTGATGGGA